TGTGGAAACTGTCAGTACATAGGAATGGGGAAGAGTTAATAAAACTGAATGTATATCTCATCTGACCCACTGCACCTTGAACAAAACAAGCATGCTGGTTTTTCTAGACACCTAGAAACATATTAAACCCATTTAGTAATGCAGGACACCAGTTATCTATGCATTTTAGAGTGGCCTGCCATCTCAGCCACTTGTGCCAAAACTTTGTATTTAAAACCTCTCATATCTCCTTCCATGTCCCTCTTCCTATCCTTAGTGCTACTCAAATCTGCACATTTAGTCTTCCACAGGGTCATCTTTAATGTTATTCCTTAAATACATCTAAAGTATATGTTGGTCAATAATTGGAAAATGTACTGTCATTTAATGGAATCCTTCATGATTTATCCATATGGGTATCTAATGGTGAAATGAAGGTATCTTGACAGGTTAGGGGGAATGAAGGATCAGATGTTTGATGAGTGGAGGTGACCTTCCCAAAATTTCTCAAATCCAAGAGCTTTTTCTATCTCCAATTTCAGACCAGTTAGCATTACAACATTTCTTAGAATTTCTTTCTGAAAGAGACCAAAAATTTACTAACTTATAATACAAGAAGCTTCATCTGTGTTACCTTGGTTAACTCTACCCAGAGTATTTTCATTTGTAATTAGGTATTTCTAAGTGAACAGAAGAAGCTTGCCATGAAGCTACCCATGAAGGCAAGATTTGTCAATTGAGCCAACAGCCACTGGAAGTTTGATTTAATGCATACAGAGAGGACTTGCTCCACTGATAATCTTGTCAATCATGAATTCTTTCAATTCTTAACTCCATTTGTACCTTCCCTGAAACTCTACTCAGTAGAGGGAGAAGAAACTGTGATTACAAATTTATCCTACATCCCACCTAGCTATCCAATGTCTTTTATAATTTCCTCTCAAAGTGGTCTACAAAATGGTCTCCATTCCCTCATCTGCCTTTTATTCTAAATATTGTATTCTAATCCTACTGTTCTCTCCTTGGAAAACTTTAATCTCATCATTTTGGTGTTGATGTTAACCATCAAAGATGCTGAGAATTAGAATCTCATATTAGAGATTTTTTTTGCCTTATGAAAAAATTTCCAGAGTCTAAAGTTTGTCTAGTACTAACACTGTCCTTTAGTTATTGGAATTTTTGGTAATTATGCAGTTAAATATATAATCTTTAATTTAGTGCTTGGAAATTCCTCAATTCATATTTTTTCCTCTCTTTTTCTAATTACTTTTCTATCAAAAAAAATTTGGATGGCAAGAGGATGAAAGAAATTTGAGAAGCATGACAAAGCCTGGATTGCATTCTGGACAGTGTGGGTAGAAATACAGATGTTAAAGATGCTCCAGGCTTTGAAGTAATTGAGGAGCATGGCAAAAAAAAAAGCTTTTGTCATCTTTGAGAATACAAGTATCTTTGACAGAATTCTGATAGAATAAAGTGAGCATTCTAAGTGCTTCTGAGAGTTCAGAAGGAAATGTGGAACACATTAGGAACAGAAGAAAGGTGATTCATGTCCTGTAGTGGCAGAAACCCTGGCTAAATCGTGTCCTACAGTTGTATGGATGGCAGAGTTTTTAAATTATAAACTTGGATATATAGCAAAGGAAAATTTCAGGCAAAGTGTTGAAAGTGTGCCCTGGAATCTTCTTTCTGTTCATAGTAAAATATGAGAAGAGAGAAATTTAAGAAATTTAAGAAAAATATTCATTAATTTGTTATAGTAGCCACAAGAAAGTAACAGAGGCCAGCAATAAAGTCAGGAATCTCATATAATTCAGATTTGCCGATGCTGGATTTTTGGTATAGAATCAGATAAGTTTAAGCTGCTTATGAGTTTATGTTAACATTAGATGCTTGATCACTAAATCAAGATACCTGTTCAAAATGTGTTATTTTGATATTACATCACTTGAAGATTCAGGGCATGCTGCTACCTACCCTCCATTTATTTTTTTTTAAATAAGCCAGAAATGACAAAGAGAATAAAGCAACTTTATCCTAGAGAGTTCAAATTCCCAATTGGCTTGTTCACAACATGTGGATCATTCTTTGTAATTTAGTTTGTTTCCTTTTTAAGACACAAATTCTCAGACCTTATTCAAAATTTATTTCTTGGGGCTAAGGACTAGATACATATTTTTCCAGTGTGACATGAGTTATTATAATGACCAACCATCTTAGAGAACTACTGAAATTATAAACCACAGGTGGATTTACCTACCATTTCTTAAATACCTCCTATGTGTTAGATATATATTGAGTTTTACATACTACTTGCATTTAATCTTATAAAAAGTAGATTCTTAATCTCTGCTTTGCATTTGGCAGTTGATGTTTGAAGAAGTACAATTTGTCCAAGCCTACCGGTAATTAGGGGAAATAATGGCTGACCACATATCTATCAGATTCCCAAACTCATACTCTTAATACAGAAAAGCCAACATAGTACAGTAAAATGAAAACAGTTTGTTCACATTTCCACACACATCCTTTCTAGATGAATGATATTGGGTAATTCATTTAATTTCTCAAGTTTCAGTTTGTTCTAGTCAAAAAACATATAATAATAAAGGGCCTCCCTGGTGGCACAGGGTTTAAGATGCAAGCTATGAAGCTAGCTGCAGTGACTACAGCATGAGTTCAATCCCCGGTCAGGGAGCTACCCACATGGCATGGCAGACCTCTCCTGGCTTGCCTGCTGCTCTCCTCAACAGTGTATTTCAGTCAATCTGCCTGTTCTGTTCCCCACTCTGTCTCTGGTGAATCCTCTCACCACCCCCCCACAACTCTGGCCTGTACCCCAGTTCTTGTATACATAAATAAATAAATCTTTAAATATAATATAATAATACATATCTCAAGCAGATTCCATAAAAATTGAATTTAATTATGTACAAAATAGTATTTTCCCAATTGTAAAACAGCATGCAAATGTATTGTACTATGGTTTTCACTCTTATCTATTTCTTATTTACAGAGTAAGAAAAGGGTAGCTATGTTATCTGGCAGAAGCATCTGCTCCCACAAATGCCACATCTACTGCCAGCTGTCTTTCTTCTGGTGAACTTATGACTTCCTGAATGGTTATTTCTGGAGCCACATTGGACTAGAATTTAAGTCCCAACTCTGTCATTTACTAACATTATAATCATGGGCTAATCTCTCCATAATTTTAATTATTCATCTATAAAAATGGAAGTAGATGCTTCTCTTTTTAGATTTTAGGTTCAAATTGAAATAAGACAAACTGGCTATAATATTTAGTTGTGATCATCATAATTTAGTTATTACTGACAGTAGCTGTGTTAGAAAGATGGCAAATTCTCTTTGTGAGGGTCCACTGGGCACCATCTTGGGCACAGTAACACAGGCAGGACAGGGCAGAATGCCAGCAGGGAGGCAGTACACACTGCAGGGCATGGAAATACACCAAAACCAATTACAATCCACCTGAATACCAGCTCCCATGATACCCTGTTCTCATTTCTATGCCAGCAAAATGATTTCAACTATGGCTACTCCTCAACAGAGAATCTCCACAAGGAACCCCTAAAAAGAGAAGCTGAAGAGTTTAACTATTTGGCATAAATAATGCCATAAATACATTCACATGCAGAATATTTCCTTTGGCATTTGGCAGAGGATCAGTTGGAAGGGCAATCATAAACTAGTTGGTAACATTAAATAAGTCAGAATGTTCTCTTGTGGCATATAATCTAATTAGGATAAGTAACAGCTACCATTTGGTGAATTCCTATGTCAGGAACTGTGCTAGACACATTATGAGAATTCTCACTAGGCAGAAAATGTCTACTGAATAAGAACCATTACCTCATTTTTTTTTAAAGATTTATTTATTTATACAAGCACTGGGTACAGTCAGAAGTCGGGAGGGTAAGAGAAATCACTAGAGCCAGAGCGGAGAGCAGAACAGGCAGACAGACAAAGTACACTGCTGAGGGGAGCAGCGGGCGGCAGGAGAGGTCTGCGCGCCATGTGGGACCCTCGCCCGGCGACCGGGGATTGAACTGGCGCTGCAGAGGCTGCGGGCAGCTTCGCAACCGAGCGCTCAACCGCTGTGCCACCAGGGAGGCCCCCATTACCTCATTTTACAAATGAGGAAACTGAAGTACAGAGAGGTTAAATAAGTTATCAATGGATAAAAATCTGGAAAGTATTATTGGTGGGACTTGATATAGTGTTTAAACACTTATTTAGAAAAGCATAACCTTTCCACTATAACATGACTCTTCCACAGGAATTCCTTACCTTGCATTACTAGTCCTTTTCTAGCAACTACTGTTATTAACTATTCTTCCTCTGCTCTTTTATTTTGCTTATACCTTTCCCCAAGAGAAAGTACATGATAAAATCACTAAGGTCAGTAGGTAGAGAAATATAAACAGATAGATAAGATAAATAGATAATAGTTAGATGGATAGATAGATGGACAAATGGCTGAATGGGCACCTAGAAATATGCTGGGAGACAGAGACGTGACTGATGGGTAGACAGCCAGCTAGATGTAGGCAGAGTGTGAGTACACGTGTATATACACACAATCATTCTGTGACTTTTGAAACCATCTTGTGGATCTCATTAGCACATCACTCATGGTCTTCTGTGTCCTGGCCCAGGTGTGCAGAACAGCTAGTCCACAATAGCCTCCCAACCACCAGTGTCATCATGTGCTTTGTGGATGAGGTATGGTCGACTCTCCTCAGGTCTGTTCACAGTGTACTTAATCGTTCTCCTCCACACCTCATAAAGGAGATTCTGCTGGTGGATGACTTCAGTACCAAAGGTAAGAAAACCCCTCTGGACAAAGTTTGAGAGAGACAGTAGCAGTTTGGGTAGATAGTAAAATCATTTGGTAATTTGATAAAACATAAACATTTACAAATGCCAAATCATTATTTCATGTGGTGCCTTCAAGGCATAAATCCTAGAATCTATGGGTACAGAAAGTCATATCTGCCTACCAGTTGGCTGCTTCAGACTTCTCTGTGACTTCTATACCACACAGGAATTACAATCTTGGGAGAGTGGCGCTTTGAAGTCTCAGAGACCAGATGTTCTGTACCATTGCACGATCTTTTTATTAAATCTAAAAAGCAAATACACCACAATTAATAGGATGCTTTTCTTACTGGTAATAATCAGAATTAGAGTTAGACTCTATGGAAAACAAGGAAACAGAAGGCCTATAGCTTCTTCCTCACCAGCAAAATGTTTAATTAAGTGCTGAGAAGATAAATTGCCAGTAGGACTAAAGAGATGAGGTTCTAACAGAGTTCAAATCCATCATGTCTTTATATTTGCTGTTATTTATTACACTGAGAAATCTCTCTCTTTGGATTGTCAAATAACTTTTGCATGTACGTGGTCCCAAGATCACTGAGGTTCCTGACCACTGCAATTATAAATTCTCCCAAATACAAATCACTTCAGAAAATTTTAGAAAACAACCAAGAGCCAGCAACCTTACTATAACAGCTTAGCCTCAATCATGACCACAATGATGTGAGTCAGTTTCCTAGGTCTCAGAGTTCCTACCAGAATCACACTGAACTCTAGGAGCTATGAGATGCCTGTCAAGTAGACCGTCTCTTTGTTAATGGTAGAGCTAGATTTTGTGGGACCTGAAGTTTATATGATTTCAGGAAAATCTTTTAGAAGAAAAACACAGAATTATTGGGAAAGTGAACCATGTTAAGTATTCCTGAAAGCAATTCCTACCTGGGTTCTCTGCCTGTATTTGATGGCACATAGAAATGACTGCAAGTCATATAAACGTACTCCAAAAAAACTTTCAACAACATTCCTTCAGCTGGAGCCCCTTGACCATCCAAGAGCAGAAGGGAGGTATGGAAGTATTATAGCGGGGATGTTAGAGTAGGAAGTCACAGTGGGCTTAAACTATTGCAGCTGCAATAACTTTGTTTTGCAAAATTTTCAATTTGTGCACAATGCTTAGCCTCTTCCTTGGGAAGGGTCCTTTGGGGAAAGTTGTGCAGAAGCCTGAGGTTTCTTTCTTTCCAGGTCAAGTTGCCCTGTTGCCCTGTCCTGACAAATACTCAGAAAAGGAAGTCTCTCTTCTGTGTAACTTGGCAACACTGAAAAGAAGGATTTGGGATCTAAGGAAATAGTCAGTTGAGAGTATTGGACCCAGACAAAAATCCATACAAGAAAATAACATCAAGGAAAAAATCCTGGCCAAAGAATACCATTTAGCGACTATAGTAAATGTCATCGCTTTTGGAATTTGATTAGTGAAGAGGTGCTGATTCTGGAATCATCCAAATCTAGCTAACTGAAGTGTTTCTTTATCTTTACTCTGATATAGACTACTTAAAAGATAAGTTGGATAAATACATGTCTCAGTTTCCAAAAGTTCGGATTCTTCACCTCAAAGAAAGACATGGATTAATAAGAGCCAGAATGGCAGGAGCAGAGAGAGCAACAGGTAAGAAGCTGCTATCATTTTCCCTTGACTGCTTTTCTGCTTAATTTTTTTTTGTATAGCAAATTTGAAATAATAGTTCAATGAATATCCATATATTCATCATTTAATTCCACTCATTTCTAACCTTTTGTGATATGTACAAACATATATTTATATGCACACACTTTCGCCCCTTACATGTTTGAAAAGATATTTACAGTCAACATAACACTTAACCCTTAACTACCTCAGTAGACATATTTATAGAGACATTCTCTTATATAAGCACAACTTTCACATATAAATATCACCTAATAATATATGCTCTTTTCAAATGTCTTCATTGCTCACAAATGTTTTTTTTTATAACTGCTTCTTTCTTTTTAAATTTTAGATACAATTAAATTCATGCACTGCATTTGGCCATCTGGTCTTCTTAGTCTCTCAATCTAGAACAGTCTATTCCATACACTTTGTTTACACACCACTAAATTTTTGAAGAGTTCAGGTCACTTTTTGCATATACAATCAATCACACTCTGAAATTTTTTCAGTGTTTTCTCTCGTTACATGAGGAATAAATGGTTTTGGCATGAAAACTATATAGGATTCTATTACATCAGTAATAGGAATTATGTAGCTATTGCTTCAGATAACAAGGCATATGATTTCAGGTTGTCCCACTGGTGGTGATACAATTTTTGAGAACTTGGTTAGGATGTTGTCAGCTAGATCTTTTCTTTTGGTGTAAGAATTGATTTGTGGTGGGACCTCCCTGGTGGCGCAAGGGGTTAAGATGCAACCTATGATGCTACCCGCAACCACTGCAGCACGAGTTTGATCCCCTGGCCAGGGGGCTACACACATGGCACAGCAGACCTCTCCTGACTCGCCCACTGCCCCCCTCAGCAGTGTATTTCGCTTGATCTGTCTGTTCTGTTCCCCTCTGTCTCTTGTGGATCCTCTCACCCCTCGCACCTCTAGCCTGTACCCCCATTCTTATGTGCATAAATAAATAAAGCTTTTAAAAAAATTGATTTGTGGGGTGATTCCTTGACTCACACAAATATCCTATTTTCCTCACTTTTTTTTTCAATGGCTTATGCATTCATTGATGATTTTTGCTTGAATCAATTATTACACTGAGGACTGCAATTTTTTTTTTTATTTTTATGTAGAAGAACTGGCTTATAGGCCAGAGGTATAGGGGGTATGGGTAGGTAAGAGGATCCACCAGAGACAGAGTGGGAAGCAGAACAGACAGATTTACTGAAATGCACTGCTAAGGAAAGAGGTCTGCTGTGCCATATATGGGTTAGCTCCCTAGCTGGGGATCAAACTCAGGCCGTAGTGTTGACAGTACTGAGATTTAACCCCCAGGCCACCAGGGAGGCCCACAAAAATGGTTTTGATTCTATCATTCCTCTTTCTTTTATTCACTTTTAAAGAAAAATTCTCATTCCCCCCCTCCCTCTCTTTCCTTTCTTCTTTCCTCTCATGCCCACATTATGTTAACTTTATGGCTTAAAAAAATTCAATGTGTATATTATCAGCATTATCTTTTTGCTACTCAAATGATTGCTAATTCGACCCTTCAAGCTTATATCTTTTTGACCTGGTATCATCAGTATTTGAGGGCTTCAGAAGTTTTAAATTCTCTTTTCTCATACCTTTGTCTATCTTGGTATATCCCTTTGTCTTCCCAAAGAGCAATATGTCTTCATCATCTTCTTTTAGCATGTGGGTATTGGAGGTGAGTGGGAGGAGGCAAATTTTTTCTATCCATGAGATTCTAAAATTGACATTAAATAATTTGGTTCACTTTAACATCCTTCTATGAAAGGACCTGTATCCTATAATAATAGCTGGCCTTCTATACCAGGTATCATTCTAAGCACTTGCTATTCTAACAGATTTATTCTAACCTCGCAATAAATCTATGACGTAGGTATAGTCATTTTCCCGTTTTACAGATGCGAGGCACTGTGATGTTATGATTTGACTACATTCTACCAGCCAGCAAGTAGAGCCAGGTAGAGCCAGGATCAGCACTCAAAACCCCTGACTCCAGAATCTGCATACGTATCTACTATATTTTGCTACCTCCAGACAGTGAGCCACTACTCTCTCCCTGTAAGCCATGGCATCGTAGACCTCCACCAGGTTGCATTCAAACATGTTCTGATGGTGAATTACCGTCTCACTCAAGTTTTACTTCCTAGTAAATAGGTCCCAAATGTGGAGCCCTTCTTAGCCCACTGGCCTGCTAACAACTTTCTTCTCTTCCTAATGGAAATATAAAATTGACAACAAATGACACATTAAAACAGGCAATGAGGTGACAGCTAAAATTCTTAAGGGCCTCCCCGGTGGCACAGGGGTTAAAGTCTCAATGCTATCAAGCCATCACCAGCCACAGCAACATGAGTTCTATCCCCAAACAGGGATCTAACCCACATGACCCAGCAGACCTCTCAGTCTCTCCCACTGCTTCCCTCAGCAGTGTATTTCAGTAGATCTGCTTGTTCTTCTCCCCGCTCTGTCTCTGGTGAATCATCTCACCCCCTGAACCTCTGGCCTGCACCCCAGTTCTTGTATCATAAATAAATAAAAAAAATCTTCAAAATAAATCCTTCTTAAAAATGAGTAACATTCTTAAATGTCAGGCTGTATTTGGAAAAATGAAACAAATTTCATTGTTTGATTACCCTTAGAAAGTAATTATCTACAAAATATGCAAAAAGTAGAACAGTCATGAAACAGTCCAATTATGTAACTTTGGAGCTGAGATCTGGGTGAAGAGCACTACCAGGAACTGGAAAAAGTGCAAATGTCCTAATACAGAAACATGCTCTGCATATTCACGTTAAAGAAAGAAGCTTATCATGACTCCCTGGTGGTGCAAGGAGTTAAGACACAACCTATGAAGCTGTCCACAGCCACTGCAGCACGAGTTCGATCCCTGGCCAGGAAGCTACCCACATGGCACAGCAGACCTCTCCTGCCTCACCTGCTGCTCCCCTCAGCAGTGTATTTCAGTCAGTCTGCCTGTTCTGTTCCCCACTCTGTCTCTGGTGAATCCTCTCACCCCCCACACCTCTGGCCTGTACCCCAGTTCTTGTATGCATAAATAAATAAACCTTTTAAAAGAAAGAAAGAAGGAAGGAAGGAAGGAAGGAAGGAAGGAAGGAAGGAAGGAAGGAAGGAAGGAAGGAAGGAAGGAAGGAAGGAAGGAAGGAAGGAAGGAAGGAAGGAAGGAAGGAAGGAAGGAAGGAAGGAAGGAAGGAAGGAAAGAAAGAAAAAAAGAAGCTTATCATGAATTTTAGGTGCTGACCATAGAGAGCTAATGGATTCATTTGGGGAGAAAGTGAATTGTAGGCTTTTGTAAACTTTTATGCATCATTTAAGGAGTGTTAAGTCCATTCTTGGTATATTGTAAAGCCAATCAAGGACATAAAAAAAAGAAGAGTAAAGTTGCTTGATTTATATTTTTAAAACTCATTGTGGCCATTTCCTACTCCTCAACATAGAGGAGAGGCTCATGAGCCCCTGGAGTTGAGGAGTCCCTGAAATCAGAGATCATCTAAGATACCAGGGTAGAAACTTTCTCGAGAATACATTAACCAAATAAATCGACGATAAGAATCTGAATCTAGAATATG